CTAATGCCTGATGATCTGAGGTGGAACTGATGTAATAATAATGAAATAAAGTGCACAATAAATGTAATGCACTTGAATCATCTGGAAACCACTCCCCCCACCCCCCAACCCCAGTACATGGAAAAATTTCTTTCCACTAAACCGGTTCCTAGTGCCAAAAAGGTTGGAAACTACTGGTTTAAGGAATCTCTGACCCTGAAGCTATACCTCTGAGTATGGATAAAGAAGATCAGCATTTGCTGACGAGATCTGGAAGTGACTTAAAACAGAATTGTTTTGCTACTCCTTGGACACTGAGCTTCTCAAACTTGCCTCTAGTTGTAAGATTACCAGGATATATATAATAAGCTCTATAAATGGCAGAGAGGAATTTATGTCATGAGATCTAAAAATTCCTAGGTGGCCTTATTCTATGATGACTATGCCATGTGTCTTGTGTGAGATCGAATTTCCTTAGAGATGCAGCATGGTCAGTGCATGAAAGTCATTCATAAGAGGAAGGCAAGGAGTCAGAATTTGAGCACTTGAAATAAATCTGGAGGCACAAAAGCAAACTAGATCTAGGAAAATATCTAGGAGTCAGTAGGCAAGTCAGAATGGGGAATCATTTGGGCGGTCCGATATAGGAAGAAGCATAGGAAAAGGAAGTATGTGACTTAGACACATTGTTTTGTGAACTTTCTGTGAAGTCATTAATTGTTTCTTGCCTCAGTAAATCCTCTCTAAAAAAATAATAGATTGGACAAGTTGCTCTCTAAATTCTATTCTATTTCCCCAACACTAATCTGTTTTATTTGTTAAGTACCATTGTTAGCGCACATTAGCAGTACAGCTAACAGATATAAGATACCAGCACTATTGAGTATTTGACATCTGAGACCAACTTCTTTTCTAGAAGAAAAATCATTTTTTGTATATTTTTTTACTAAGGCTAGAGCAGGTCAAAATCCAGGTGTAAGGGTTGGTCTTAGAGAACACTTCTGAGAGCAAAAGGTGACCCATGGGTACTCATTTCACATCTCTAGTAACTTGTGAGCTATTTGGCCCCATGGCAGTGGGTCAGCAGTGCTTTTGAGGCTTTGACACTGAATTTGACTTTGTCAAACCATGAATCAAGACTTAGGAGAATTTAAAAACAGAAGACAGCTCCACGTGGAGCTTTCTGTCCACAGAATGACAGTGGGGAGAGGCGTTTGACTACATGGGAAGCAAAATCTTTCTGAACCAGGGAGATGAAGTGTTAGAGTGAACCGTCAGTTCAGGCTGAGCCAGTTAGAAGCCCTCTCAGATAACTCTTACTGCCCTCGTGTTTACTGGAGAGATTCTCCTTCCTAGGCCAACCTCCTTAACCCTTGCATTTACTTCAAAACCTGTTAGAACATAGGGCATGACAAACGTAGGGTGAAATCTACACCCTCAATATGATATTCCCAGCACTTTTCAACTTTGACTGTGTGTTAATCAGATTTATGCTGTCTTCCTCAGGACCAGATACATAATTTCCTGAGCTCAGTGCAAGATGAAAATGCAGGGCTTCTAGATAGATCAGTCAATAAAGAATCTACCTGCAACGGAGGACACCACCTGCAATGCAGGAGACCCGGGTTTGATCCTGGGCTTGGGAAGATACCCTGGAGAAGGAAATGCAACCCACTTTGTATTTTTGCCTGGGAAATCCCATGGACAGAGGAGCCTTGCAGACAAGAGTCCATGGGATCACAAGTGTCAGATGTGACTTAGAGACTAAACCACCAACACCAGTTCAAAAGTGAAGAACTTAAAGGTGGTGCTGGCACAGGATTAATCCAAGTACAGATCTCTTCTGAGCATGAGGTTCTGTGTGACTGTACAGGCTGGATGTCTGTGGAGCTGACACTCATCCTGTCTCCCAATCTTCTGTTCCTGGAAAGGAGCCTGTTCAAGTGGGGTGCTGGTTTTCATCTCTGAGCTGTTGGACAAATCCACTCAAGCGAGCTTGTGTATTCCATTCTCTGTCTTGTACTGTCTTGTTAGGAACCACAGACAATTTTGCTGAAGTGAGGAAAAGGCATCAGAACAAATTTGAGAATGTTTTCTGGTTTACATTTTCCATTGAGAGGCATCCTCAGGTTGCCAAGATGTTCCTACATATGCTGCCTCTAAACCAGGGGTTCTTAATGAAGGGTGAAAATCAGGATTACTTGGGATGCTTCTTCAATACATACTCCTCAGAGATTCTAAATCTGCCAACATAGTTTACATAGGGTATTGAAAAGCCTTTGAGCAAAACATTGGTAAAGAACTACTTGAAAATTATTCCATTTATTTGTTGTTTTTGAGGATCGTATGTTTACATATCTGTATATCCACCTACCTCCTTGATGTTAGAATCTGTTGAAACTGACTTTTTTTTTTTCCAGAGTGCTTTAACCTTAACTTCAGTGAGTATATTCTGGGTGGTGACGATTATCCACTTTGACACAGAGTGTCAAAGAATTTATTTGTGACCTGCTTTCATGGAGGCCACAAACTAGTTATTGCAACCAACCAAGAAAAAAAAAAAAGAAAAGAAATGAAGAAATACCACAAGTACTGGCAATATTTATTGCAGCATATGGCTAATGTGTAAAGAGGTAACAGAACGACGTATCTCAGGGGATCATTCAAAAGGAAAATTACTTAAATTAACTTCTCAGGCAAACCAAATTATGCACCATGCCCTCTCCTGTAATGCTATACAAAGTCAATGTTTGTGGAGAGTAGACTGGGGACTATCAATCAAGTCTTTCATAAGAATGGTTGTGTCTGCAGGGACTTATTTTTTTCCTTTGCATTTTTGGCTTTTAGATGAATGAAGAATTTTTTCTCAGCAAATTATTAATTACTCCTACTTGCCTGTCGAATTGAGTTCACTGTAGTTATGTAGGAGTCAATGGTATTCAAACTGCAGCTTTTGATGAAGTAATCGGCTGCTTCTGGGGCCTCTTTCAGCTGCCCTGGGCGTGCTTCACATGTAAACGACTGCCAAATGGATTCTTTCGACATTCCAGCCAATTAAAATACATTTAAAGTGCAGCTGGTAGAGAGGGAAGCTGGGTGATTGTGTGGAGAACTTCAGGGCAGAGAGACAGAAAACAAACTTTGCAGAACCCAGTTCGGGTAGCCCAGCCAGGGGTTGGGGGACAATGGAGAAAGTCCCCCAAAGTGGGTATCTTTAGTTGCTGTCATCATCAAAGATGACACTTTGAGCACCACCTTAAAAGACACAAAAGAGGGAAGCATGTTTGTTAGGGTGTCAGTTTTCTCCCCTTGCCTCTTGAAACTCTGTGTTGGCTGGCTGCCCAATGCGGTGCTGCATACAAATATTGACAGAACACAGCGGTGTTTGTTAAACCCGGTCTGGGGAAGCCAGTGATTAAAACTCTTGAAGGAAGATCCGAAAACCTCAGGAACTCTCCTCAATAGCCTTAGAACCCTGACCGAATGCAAGAGAAAGCACTGAGTGGGCTAAAGTGAACACATTCACCGTCCCTGCTATGCCTTTTCGGTAAGGTCAGAATTTTCTTTTCTCTCTCTTTTTTCTTTAATGTTTCTGTTGGTGTGGAGACGAGAGCTTCCAACATGCTAAGTAAGTGCTCTGCTTCAGATCTCTGATTTGCAGAGCATAGGGTTTGCCTGTGATTTTTCTGGAGGGCTTGAGGGGATTGCAACGTGTAAATAGACACAGGGCATCACCCAGCACACATGTGGAGTCCGCCAGTGCTTTTCCAGAATTCAGGATACATGTTTCAATATTTGCCTCTGTTGATCTGTCCCAGTATTTGCTGCCTGTGTCCAAGTGTCCTGAGGTTGAGTACAAACAGATTCCTCCTTTGAACCAATAGGTATGCTGTACATGCTTGTTTCATTTTTATTTTCATCATCAATGTCTTGTGCATTCTGCCACCAGCCTCTTGCCTGTGCATGCAGAAAGTGTATTTTTCCTCCTGGGTTAATATTCAATCAGTGTTCTGTCTTACTCAAGCAAATCCCAAATGTTTGGAAATGCCTTGCTTTATCTCAACTTTCCTTGGAAAAGCTACTAACTTGGGAATTTGTTCTGAATCACTCTTATACTGGAAGAGGGCAGCTGCAGTTGCACTATCTCTATGGTTCTGCAAGCTCAGTAAATACCCGGCTCTGTGGGTTGGACTCCCAGGCCCATCTTAAATTCCTGAGAATGTTTAGGGAGAGTAGGGCTGAGCAGGGGTATTGATTGCTATCCATCAATTGACCAATGAAAGACACACACAGTTCCTGATTGTTTCCGATCCTAGCTTGTCACAGTTGGCCCTTTTTGGCTTTGGTTTTGTTCATTGCAAACAAAGAATCTTGCACATTTCATGGTGAAGGATCACGTTGCAGTTCAATGCTCTTTATTAATCTTTAATGTGCCAGTAGCTCTGAGGCTATGCCAAGCTGAGCCTTTCCAAAACTCTTGAAGCTACCTGCTGCCAAGATAAACGGTGGTAGGCTCAGAAGGAATATTTTAAAGAAACTTGCAAGAGCAAAGTTTTAGCTATTAAATTTGTAATGGGTCAATGAAAGAAATCTTAAATACAAGAGATTTCAGAAAGGGCTGCTTCAGCTCTGCCCTCCACGTGAGAGACCTGCTGTTGGGGCGCATGTTCTCACACACACAGTGGTCTGTGTTCTGTGTGTGGAGAGTATAAGGTGACCTACTGTATGGGTGTTGGGTTGGGTTTATGAAGTGGGTGCTGTGTGAATGGAGGCGTGCAAATGCAGAAGGCCTTCCTGCTCATGACAGTGTTGAAGCCCAGGGGTAAACATGGCTATACATGTGGGGGCTGCTTGTCCCATACAACCATTTCAGACACACCAAATGAGCCAGTGATGGACAGCGCTCACAAGAGTACCTGTGGACACAAATGTAACTATGTACAAAAGAAAAATGGCATGGTATACGTCGAAAAATTGGGCCCTGGAGGTGATCTAAGAACTCAGATGAAATGGAAACTTACTGTGAGGCCATGGAGAAGGGAAGGCTGTGGCTTCTTGGATCTGTCAGTTGCTCACCAGGCTAATGCAAGGTCAGTGGTGTCATCATCATTTCTTAGGAATGCAGGTAAGAGTCAAAAGAATTCTGCCTGTAGACACCAGTTCTGTAAGCAGAGGTTCCATTTGTTATGGTTGCTATGAGAACACTGAATTGAAGTGAGAGGAGCTTCAAAGTCCTTTCTGATTTAGAGTCAATGATGTAAAGACTTTACACACACACACATGTAGACAGTGATGAGAAAGGGGCAAGGGTGAGGGAATCCTTCATTAAATGGGTTTTGTTGATTTTAGAGTCAAGCCCAGTTCTTCCTGTGGCCTAGAATAGGGTTGACAAACTAGGCATCACAGACTAAATCTGATCACCATGATTTTTTTTAATAGATAAATTTTCATTAGACCCAGCCAAACCCCTTTGCTGATATATGGTCCACAACTGCTTTTGTGCTATCATAACAGAATTGAATAGTTGCAACAGAGATCCTATGACCCCACAAAGCCTAAAACATTTATTGCCTGGCTCTTACAGAAAAAGTTTGAGAGATTGGACATGGAGGACAGTGCTTCTTAAACTATCTCATAGATTGGTTTTTTTTTTTTTTTGCTTTGTAATCAGTATATTAAAGAGACATTCATACATTTCAAGAATTGCTTAAATTCTGATACCAGATTTAAGCTTGTGAACATATGACTTTAAACATACAATTAAAGCTATTCATCATAATTTGCTATACTACCAACATTAAATTACAGTTACTCTGGAGCATAAGTTAAATGGTTTAAAGTAAGCCTGTAACATACCTACAAAAACACCTTCCTAGCTCATACATGCAAATTACTTCTCCATGTAAAGGTCTCATCACTCTAACCTCTAAGTTTCCCTGCTCCAGAAGTCACTATTCTAAGGCTTACTGTGGTCCAAAGAGGGGGGGTGGGGGTGGGGGGAGAAGTAGCAAAAAAAGTAACCAGGACCAATAGCTATATATATTAATAAAAGATGGCACAGCAGAAGAAGGGAATGCAATTCTACAAGTGCAAGCCCTCAAGAAGCAGCATGTTATGATAAACCCCTTCTTGACAAAGGTATCATTTCTATCACTGATACCAAAGGCTAAATTAAATTATACAGCATGCCATCTTCAAATAACAGTTGAGGCAATAGAATAAATGCAGAAGCATCACAATGAATCCCACTTACTACAACTATACAAACCAACACTTCTCTACATTAACTTCTTTGTCTGACTGCCAGTTAAACACAGTTTTAATTTCATAGCTTAACAATTAAGAGTCATACACTGAAGTCAATACATATACCTGGCATTTCAGTCTAAGCTATTCCATGTACATAGCTGAAATCAATTACAAAGTATGGCCTAACAAATGCTAGGGGTAATTTTTTAAAGTCGTTTTTACAAGTATTAAACTTATCTTGCACACTGAAGTCATCATACATACAGGGCAAAGTCAGAGCTTTATATTCGAGTTTATTCTTCATTTAACTTTTAAACACTACTATAGTTGAATATTAAAACAAAAGCAAGTAGTGAGCATATTATGATTATAGTCCTTCACTCAATCACTACTGCAATAAAACCCCAGCAGTGAGTGTTATTCACAGGCCTACTAAGAGGTCTGACACTGAACACCACCCCGAGGATGATATTCTTCATCCTCATATGCTTCTCCATTGTAATGACGCCGTCTTTCCTGATTTGGATCAAAGTCCACTAATTCTACCTGGTCCATTTCATCAGTCTCTTCTACTTCCTTCCTCTCAGGCAGAAGTTTTTCCAGCAAAGAGAGTTTATCAGGAGAGAGAAAGCCATTCTCAGGAAAGTTTACCTTAAATTCAATGATTAGGCGACCCTTTTCATATGGCCTACGATAAATTGGCATGCCTTCATTTAGCACACACTTGATATCTCCATGCTTGACGATCTGACCTGGATGAGAAGTGATGACTATGGTTCGGTTGTCAAGAGTAGATATTGGCTTCTGGAAGCCACACAATGCCTCAACCAGCTGTATGTCCATACACATGAAAAGATCTTCTCCTCGTCGAGTAAAAACAGCATGGTCCTTCTGATCTAAAACAATGATAATATCTCCTGGCTCCAGTCCTGGTTCTTGGTCTCCTTCACCATGGAATGTTATCTTCTGGCCATCTTTCATGCCTTTGTCAATATGAACTTCTAGAATTTTCTTTTCTCGAACTATCTTCCTTCCATTGCAGCTTTTGCATCTATCTTTAGGACTGATCCGCTCCCCATGGCCCTGGCACTCCATGCAGACAGACTGAATTTGCTGAACCATTCCAGGTCCTATCTGATGAATTCTTATTTGCATTCCAGTACCCCGGCAATTGGGACAGCATTCTACCGCTCCTTTCTTACCACCTCGGCCTTCACATTTGTCACAAATCACATTCTTTTGCAGAGCTAGTTTTCTTGTTGCACCATTATATAAATCTTCTAAAGTTACTGTAAGTTGATGCACAACGTTTTTACCTCTCCTCTCTCTCTGCATCCTGCCTCCTCCTCCGAAAAACATATCAAAGATGTCCATGGGGGAGCCAAAACCACCACCTGCTCCACCTTCTTTAATTGCCTGTTCTCCTCCTTTGTCATATAATTCCCTTTTCTTTGCATCAGAAAGCACTTCATAAGCTTGAGAAATCTGTTTAAACTTCTCGCCTTCATTTGGATTCTTATCAGGGTGGTACTTCAAGGCCAGTTTCCTGTAAGCCTTTTTCAGTTCTTCTTGGGTGGCACTGGGTTTGACCCCCAAAACATCATAATAAGTGGTTTCTTTCACCATTTTCTACAGCCGGTGAGCGGGCCGATGCCGGTGTGGGGGAGCGGGAAGGAGCGCGTTGCTGTGCGCAGCTCGGGCAGCCGCCGCTCCTCTGCCTTTCACCGAGCGTTCTGGAAAGTCCTAATGTTTTAAGGAAGATTATAGTTAAGTTTGGGCTTCCAAGGCAGGATTAGTGGTAAAGAACCTGCCTGCCAATGCAGGAAACTTATTAAGAGACTCGGGTTCAATCCCTGAGTCGGGAAGATCGCCTGGAGGAGGGCATGGCAATCCACTCCAGTATTCTTGCCTGGAGAATCCCCATGGACAGAGGAGCCTGGGGGGCTACAGTCCTTAGGATCACAAAGAGTCAGACATGACTGAAGTGACTTGGCACGCGTAGTTGAGTTTGACCAGAGCACAAAAGAGGGAGGGGGGAATAAAGCCATCAACTAAAGGAGAGTGTGCAGGGACAACAACTTTCTTGCACAAATGATAAACTGGCAGTAAGTACAGAGTACGAAAATAACAAGCAGTTACTGTGTGTTCAGCATTTTGATAGGAATAAACCACAATACAATTCAGCAAGATAAACAGTCTTAGCCTCATTTTATGCATGAGGAGCTGGAAGCTTAGAGAGTGGGCTTGCACAAAAATTGCACAGCTAATGTATGGCAGATTAGTGATTCAAAGTAAAGTTTGTATCATCTCCAAACCTCATGCTCTTTCCACTACACCCTGTCACCCCTTAAGTCCAAAAAAGCAGTCCCCAAACATTTTTGTATGTAGCAAGGATTACATCACAAGGATACTTGTAACAACTCTGCTTCGATAAATGCTAATATAAATTCTAGAATATTCCAGAAAAGGTGGTGTCCTAAGTTTATACTTACAATTTATATTCATGTCAATGACCGAGAAAAATGAAAAAAAAAAAAAACAACAACAATGATCTAATGATAGTTTCAATTTCAGTTTTAAGTCAGCCCCCAGGTATTGGGGGATTGGTGAAGATTGGTTCAGTGCTGGAGGCCAATGCTTTAAAGTATTTTAACTTTGAAGGAAAAAAAATAAAGTATTTTAACTTTGTTAGGCAACAAGAAGTACATGGATGAAAGGATGAGAGATTTCTTTGAAAAAGGAAATATAAGAAGGAGAAGGAAAAAGAGGAGAAGGAGCAGAAGAGGAAGAAAAAGTAGTAGTATAAGTAAATATGTCTTGCATAAGTGTGAGGTGGGGCTCAAGGAAACTGGGTGCAACAAGATATTACTGGATTAATGTGATCTCTGCTTTCATAGATGACAAGGGTTACCAATATGACCCCCAATATCTATCTATGTTTGTCACAGGAAATTTTAAATGAAGGGAAAGGGTAAAGATCCAAACATCCAAATAGCCTGCCCTGACAAGGTACAGAAAGGGACAAGCTTTGTTGGCAAATGTTTCATGGAGACAGGGCTAGTGGAAGAGGTTTCTTTTTTTTTTTTTTTTAAATAGTAGAAATAGTTTTAAATAGTTTAAAATAGTTTTACAATAGTTTTTATTTTTTTATTTTAATTTTTTTTTTCACTTATTTTTATTAGTTGGAGGCTAATTACTTTACAATATTGTAGTGGGTTTTGTCATACATTGACATGAATCAGCCATGGATTTATATGTATTCCCCATCCCGATCCCCCCTGCCACCTCCCTCTCTACCTAATCCCTCTGAGTCTTTTACCTGAAACTGCTGCTGTTACTGCAATCAAAGGAGCATTCAAAGTCAATGTCAGAGCAGGGAGCTGAGACCTGAAAAACCATAGAAAAAGAGAAGTACTTAAAGGTAAGCAAAATGAAGGGCTTCTAGAAGCAGTTGTGGAACCTAGGTTCATTCAGCATGCCAGGGAGATGAGAGCAGAGAGCAGACAAGCAATAAAGAGAATAGGAAAGAATCAGTGCTGTTTTTTGCAGCTTCAGTTTAGGCCTGTCATACAGAATTTTTTTCTTTTTTGATTGCCGTGGCTAGGACTTCCAAAACTATGTTGAATAATAGTGGTTAGAGTGGACATCCTTGTCTTGTTCCTGATCCTAGAGGAAATGCTTTCAGTTTTTTATTGAGTATGATGTTAACTGTAGGTTTGTCATATATGGCCTTTATTATGTTGAGGTAGTTCTTTCTATGCCCATTTTCTGGAGAGTTTTTTTTTAAAATCATAAATGGGTGTTGATTTTTGTCAAAAGCTTTTTCTACATCTATTGAAATGATCATATGGTTTAT